CTCAGTGTCAAGTTGAGGTCAAGCCAATCATCATCGCCACATTGAGCTGATTCATCTTTTAGCAGCTGATTTCTTTTCCGCATAGCTAACAGATGTAAATACACTCACCTATAATTGGCAATCATTACAAAAGCATATCCACCTTTCGTTCGGAAGGGTAAAAATCAAGATCCAAACAGAATCGGGTCAGTTCCTCGTAAGTTAACCTTGACTATCACTAGGCCAGTCGAAGGGGTTGATACATTTATTTATCCTTGATGCTAGAACTAATAAATTGAGCCTGAACCACTGAGGAAATGTATTTTTAAATAGATGGCATTGGTGAAATAAAATCGATCGATAGATATTTATCACAATCCGCGTATGATTCCCAAAAAACTTAAATAATGGTAGGATTTTGTTTTATGAAAAAATAATAGGAGTAAGAGAAGAAAAACATTCATTACAATATTTTGATCGAAATTCTCATTACGCCATCCTAAACGGTAATGAGGACTTCACTTGTACAGCTTCAATGTTCCATCTGCCTTGTCTATTGCTGCAACAAGTTGTTCTAAACTCTAAGGTGCGCTGAGAACTTAGGCTGTTTGTGCTAATTCAAATGCTTGCAAATCTATCGATAAGAAATGTCTGAAAGTGAGCCAATTATTGGGCAAATTTTCTTTCTATTCACTGGCAAAGTGCGGATTCTACTCCGCGATATTTGAACACATCTTCCACATCTCCAACCTGTAACGATTAGGCCGTCGAAGTTTGGAAAATTCCTCTTGAAAACATTCAAACCGTTGGTTGTGGATAAAAAAGTGAACTTTTGCTATTTATGGTTAGATATTCCTTAAATTTCAGAAATGCAATTATCCAGGCAATTTCTCCACAAAATACTTAAACCATTACAACTGCTCAATGGCTTATTTTGAGAGCGTGCATTAGAGAATTTACCTTTTGCCTCGATATTATTTAGTAGTAAAGAATGGAAAATCAATAAAACTTTTATTAAATTGATATTCTGTCTACACTTTGAGAAAATTTTCCCTAAGAATGACCTCTCACATATTCAAGTACCACCTCGATGAAATCGGTCGATGGTAAAGTCAATTAATTAAACATCACAGGAAGGAGTTTCAACTATGGTGGAAATGAATTCAAGATGACAAATATAGTTTCACTTCTATTTTGCAATGTCAGAATTCCTTTTTCGTCGCCTACTTGTTCATACGTCCAGCTCCTATTTACCAGATGCCAAATTACAATGCTTGGTCTTGAAACTTTTTTTCAATTTCATCTCAAGGTCGGGGAGATCATATTGACGCTGCATGCTCGTAAGCCTCTTTGTGTTCCTAACACAGCCGAGTTCACTTTTGATGTGCGCTTGAGATGTATTAATCGTTTGAAGATAGAATGTCGAATTACAATTCTGTCTTGCAAAGTTGGCGTGGAATTCTCGATCAGACATGTTGTAGCTAACATTGATTTCTAAGTAATACCCGATTTGTGAACGTTCTCATATAAAGCAACAACTTTTGAATCTTTACCACCCATGTTTTAGGGGCTTCTCACTAATATTTTCATTTTGGTTTTTCTATCACAGCGAGAGGGAGACCAGCATACACCTTTCCCCCTATTCCATAAAAATATCCCATTGAATATATTGGGGTTGTGACATCTAAAGGTTATGGGAGAGAGAGAGAGAGAGGAGGGGAGGGGGGAGTGGCAAAGGGGTGATAGAGGTAATCGAAAGTCTTTCCATTAACTAACATACGAAGAGAGGGAGGTTGCAAACCAATTTAGATACATTAGTGGCGTCAGCTGTTTTTCCTCTCACTGCAGACGATTTATCGACGAAAATGGAGCCATTAGACCGACCGACCCTATCGTAGAGGAATTGGAAGCGATCGAGTGTGAAACCCCCCCCCCCCGCCTCCGGATGACCCACTTTAGATCCTGCGGTAAGAGCTGTCACTACATGATAGATGTTGATCTTAAGTCACCTTTCCATCGATAAATGAATAATTAACTAGTGAATAAATTACTGAACCATACTGAGGTATTACTGACAAATGAGTTTGAGCTGATCTGACTTGATATTCTGGACCTCTAGCTGCATTTGCAAGTGACTAATCAGACCCAAAGAGAGTTCGGTGAATATGCAACTCAGAGAATGCCTACAAGAAATATAATTTTAAGCAAAATTCAAACTGATTTCCCTCGCATCTTATGGAAATTTATATGATGAAGAAAAGGGTATTTTTCTAGCAGTTGTCGGTTGTTTCCAATAACAGTAATGCTTGATTTATCTGCATTCATATGTAGAAAATGAACCAATAGTTTTGCTAATTAGTCGGACTAGGAAAAGGAGCTTGCGCTCACAAATGTGCAGATTAAACTCCTTCGAATGCCGAATGGGAAGCTTCGTTCTTTTGAGCCCCTATGAATGCTTTAAGGGGTGCGTGATAGACTTCCCTCCACGTGGTGCACCCTGGGCAACGTGTTCTCATACGGCAAAAAGGTCTATTAACCGGCAGTTGACTTCTGACTTCCATACGGCTACCTCCACGTGGTGCACCCTGGGCAACGTGTACTTACAACCTCCATGTGGTGCACCCTGGGCAACGTATACTTATGCGGAAAAAAGTCTATTGACTGGTAGTTGACTTCTCACTTCAAACTACCATCACCCCACTGTATAGTTGACCACTGACTTCAAACTACCATGACCCCACTGTATGCCTTGACTTCTGACTTCAAACTACCATGACCCCACTGTATGTTACAAAGTATACTCATACGGCAAAAAGTCTATAAACCGGCAGTGGACTTCTGACTTCAAACTACCCTCACCCCACTATATGTCACAACTTCTCACTTCAAACTACCATCACCCCACTGTATGTCATTGTGTATGCGCATACGGCAAAAAAGTCTATAAACCGGCAGTTGATCTAACCCTAACACGGCAAAAAGTCTATAAACCGGCAGTTGACCTCTGACTTCAAACTACCATGACCCCACTGTATGTCATATTTGGGCAACAGACCTCATACGGCAAAAAGTCTATAAACCGCTGGGCAACGTATACTCATACGGCAAAAAAGTCTATTAAAGGCAGTTGACTTCTAACTTCAAACTACCATGACCCCATTGTGGCAGTTGACTTCTCACTTCAAACTACCATCACCCCATTGACGGGCAACGTATACTCATACGGCAAACAAGTCTATAAACCAATGGGCAACGTATACTCAAACGGCATACCTCCACGTGGTGCACCCTGGGCAACGTGTACTTACAACCTCCATGTGGTGCACCCTGGGCAACGTGTTCTCATACGGCAAAAAGGTCTATTAACCGGCAGTTGACTTCTGACTTCAAACTACCATCACCCCACTGTATACCACATTAGACTGCTTCCCAGTACTCACCTCACCTTTTTCTACTTTCGTCTTTGAAACACTCTTCTGTTTCCCCCCCCCCCTCGTCTCGACTTTTTTCCCTTTGTTGTTCCTTCTCCTCTGTGAAGCCTGAAGTCAACTAAAGGGCTAATGATTACCATCAAAACGCCTGCCATTTGATATAAATAAATAAATAAATGAATGCTTTAAACCTCAATATGACTATTTGAAATAGTACGTCTCAAGGCTAAAGAATACCTTGAAGTTTGCAAGTGGTCCGGTGAGAAGAATAACGCTCTAAAGAGTTGTGTTAGTTAACCTTATAAGGTGGTTGAAATTTGAGGAAGTAGGTTTTAATTGTAACCCTGGTGAATATGTCTTGATCAAGTACTTTTGGAACTCGCAACAAAAAGAGCATTCACAGATCGTCAATCTCTCAAATTTTACCACCTGATGAAAAGCCATTATTAACCTTTCAACTGTTTGCGCTCATCAAGCTTTCAATTGTTTGATCATATGCCAAGTTCTCTGCAAATCTTGCAAATAGGGAAATCGGTTATTTGAGCCAATAGTAGTTTACGCCTGCTTGAGGAATATCAAGAACTGCCATGTATAATTCAATACGCTGAGTTTTGTCCATTTTGCAATGATAGATGATCACAAAAGCGGGATGGTGCAGCCTGGGCAACGTATACTCATACGACAAAAAAAGCCTATAAACCGGCAGAGGACTTCTGACTTCAAACTACCATGACCCCACTGTATGCCATATTCGACCACTTTCACCGTACTAAACTTACCTTTTCTCTGCCTTTGTGTCTGTTTGTCTGTCTCTTTAATATATTTGAGTCACTCTTCTGTTCCTCCTATCCACTTTTTCTCACTTTGATGTTCCTCCCCTCTGAGAAGCCCAAAGTCAGCTAAAGAGGTTAGTGATAAGTGTCATAAAGACCGCCATTTGAACTAAATAAATAAGTGATTACTAAAGCACAATCACAAATACACCATGCTATATATGAGTCTGCAAATTTCTTTATTATAAATCGAACGGATGGCCAATTTTCTGCCAACCAGTGCACAGGAATAAAATCTCCTTGTGAATCTGCAAATCTCCCCCTAAGGTGAATAATCAATCACTTTGAAATACTTCAAAAATATTTTGTGAGCCAAGTACTAATATACTATATATCACTCGAAGTTAAATCTTTCTTCCACTGCTCTTGTTGAAACATGTTATTTTTCAAATTCTGTCTACATAAAATAGTTTTGTGATTGGCGAAATGAGAGTTATAGTATGATTGATGTCTATTGGAGTTTGGAATTTGCGCCAAAATCTCTGGTCGACCAAAGCATGCTAATTTACAAAAGTAGATTTGCTCAAAATCAGAAACAATCTAGACACAGTTTCCAATTTCGCCAGTAAGCAATCTGTTAGTCTGCCACCTGTTGATTGGACAATAATATGTCTGAACGTGCACGCGCACTGGATGTCCCCTGTGCACTGCCCAATAGGGTACAAGTTGGTGCGACATTGGTCGGTGCAGCCGCGCATACCTGCGAAGTAACTATATATAGTGAATCTGGCTGCACTTGGCCGCTAATAGCTCTGAAATGTGGTCTGCTTTTGAACCTAACGAAATTCTTCTACCTGCAAGTCAGAATGGCAATAACACCAACAGCAATAATCCTATCCAACCACCTGATGTTTTCCAAATGATGTGGAACAGCGCTTTCTCGAGCTTCGTCAATCCTAATGTTATCAAACCTGGAACTGAGAGAGATGAAGCGGTTCTACAAAAGCACCTTTGTGCTACTTCCCTTCTACAACAAGCTCTATCCATTCTCTCCAAACGATCTTCTACTGAATTAGCTGATAATTCAATTCCTTCAAAGAATATTGGTGAGTTTCAATCTCTTGTTGTTTTTTCACGTGAAAGTGAGCACGGCATATGGGACTTGTTCTTGGACATCTGCCGATAGGGTTGGAGATTTGTGAACCAAAAACCACAAGGTCTAGACGAGCTTAGAGAGCGGAGAGAGAGGGGGGGAGTTGGGCAAATAGTACCTCTTTTTGCCTGAGGACCACCTGCTGCGTTAATTCATCAATACAGCAGGCCTTACCTGTGTGTGTGTGTGTGTGTGTGTGTGTGTGTTGAAGGCGAATTCAATAAATCATATGACCAAGATCCAATCCACTTTTCCTTCCCCTTTAAATCTCTGATTGAAGTTTTGCGGAAAAGGTGTGATACGTTTTTCGCACTTGTGGGAGCGCGAAATCAGTCTTACCTCTGCCAGCTTCATGTCCTGTTTAATTCGGCGCTATATTTATGTCCATTTTAGAAGGAGAATCCGGCGGAAATACACCACCCTCATTCCAAAACCTCTCCTGTTCTGAAACCACCCTTAATTCACCTCCATGGTTGCCTTTTGGTGTAGTCTCAACTCAACCAATCAAGCAGTCTCCTCCAGTTATCGATTTATCTAAAGAGAAACCCCAATCGCCGAAAAAGTACGATAAATTCTCGATACCTCACTTGTTAGGTCAAGTGTCGTCATCACCAGACGAAAACATACGACCTGGCAAAGTCTGTTTTGAGTGCAATAATTGTGGAAGAAGCTATGTAACAAAGACGGGTCTTCAGAGGCATCAAAATCAGTGCTCCAACAAGGTGTCTGAAAGTATTCCAGCATCACCGGAGTCTCTAGACCCAGAAGATAGTCAAGCAACTTCTCCATCTCCAAATAACTCAAACGTTTCTAGGCAGTATACTTGCCATGTTTGTACTAAGGTTTACTATTCAATGTCCGCTCTGAAAATGCATATTCGTACTCACACACTCCCATGTAAATGTAATATTTGTGGAAAGGCATTTTCAAGGATGTGGCTACTGAATGGGCATCTTCGAACTCATACAGGGGAGAAACCGTTTGCCTGCCGAGTTTGTCAAAGAGCCTTCGCTGATCGGTCAAATCTGCGAGCCCATATGCAGACGCATTCCGAGGTGAAACGATACCGGTGTGACGATTGCGGGAAAACCTTCTCTCGTATGGGTCTGTTGACGAAACATACTCGTTCTGGTTGTACAAATAAGACATCCACCAGTTCACCAACACCCCAATCCGCTACACAATTCCCCTGGAACTCATCATCAATTTTTTCATGACTTTTTAGTGTGATATAAAGCTTGTGCTTCCTTTGAATATTCCATTGCTGATCAATTGCTATCTATAAACGTGTTTTTCACAATTAAAAGCAGGCCATTAAAGTGTTTATTTCACTTTGGGAGAAAGGTATTCATAGTTTTCTTGTAATTTCCATTTCCAGCTCAAATGTTGAATACGAATGGATTTTGAATTTGTTATGATTGAAATTTCGAATGAGTTTAAACTTAGCTTTTGGATCGAATATATTGATTATTTTGTAACGAGCTAAGTATTTTGGGGCTAAAATGGATTAGCTAATAGTAAAGTTGGAGCCAATAGGAAATTGTGACAATCATATACCTCTTGAGCATTTTTGTTATTTGGGAGAACTGGAGATCATAAATCGATTTTCGATATTTTGCATTCAGATTGGCCTAGATATGCTGAGTGTGGGATTTCGCCACCCAAGCGGAAACGGCGGAAACATGCTAAGGGGAGAGAGGGTTTATTTTGCTTTCTCGCCAACATGTGTACACGCCTAAAACATAATGGTTGTCTTTTGACTATTGCATTGAACAGATGTAGTTAGTGGAAGTGGTGAACAGGGAGCGGACAGTTGCCTTGTCCACCACACCTGTGGTGTACACGGGTGGGTTTGCACCTTTCGATGAGAGAGACGGTGCTTTAACAACTGTTCTAAACACCTGACTTTAGACATCACACGAACAGTTTACATGCTTTCTACTCCTCTCCAGCGTTTGGGTCAGAAAGACGTATTGCACCGAGTTTGTGTGCACACCACCAGTGGGCATAATTTATAGTTTTAATTAAAAAGTAAGATCTAAAAAACGCATTTGGGCTTGTCAGACTAGCAGAAGTAACGGGTTAAAGGGGGGGGGGATGATTGATTTCAGTCTTTTCTTCTTTTACTTCAACAGCAGTCCAACACCATTTGGTATTTAATTAAAGGGCATCAATAAGACCAGTTTCGTTTCTCCAGGCCTTGTGCTCTTAAGATATTTCCATTACCTGATATTATCAGCGTATAAAATTTCAGATATGTACCAACAAATTTCTGATATATGAGAGTATATGAAGGCTCCGAACCATTTCCAAGCGATAGCTTTTAAACTATGATCTAACCAAAAACATTTAAGAACAAAAACAAATCACTCTTAAGCCTATCTCAGCAGAGAATCGCTTATCAGATCCGAATTCCGCATTAGTTTTTATCCTCCTAATATGACATGACAATCATACAGATTACCTCAATCTGTTTATTCAATAACCAATTCAAAAGTAAGTTTTCGTTGAAGTCCCATTTAGTGGGTTCACCATTTATGTTGAGTCCCTCTAAGCTGTTTGAATGAAATTACAAATGTGCGTGTCAAGACCGACCGCGGTCAATAAATAGTAAATATCGATGGGAGGAATTTGTTCAGTAGTTAAGGTGAAGAATTATGGATTGGGATTTTGAAAGGTTAAGTAACCTTTAAGTAAATTATGCACAACCGGAAACCTAAACTGAAATGAATTATGGCTCTCATAATCTTTTACAGCCTCTTCTTATTTGTCGCTTATTGAACTTATTGCGAAAACACTTAAATTGCATTATCATAACGAAAATTATAAGTGTCTCTCTTATCATTAATAATAAGAAAAGTTTTTAATAATAATAATAACTAAAATTCGTTTTCAGATGCTGGGGCAATTATATCAAGTACATTCGGCCGACTTAAGTTGCAAAAATCGATAAATCAAAGCTGGAATCACGTGAGAAATCTCTGCGTCTTACTGATTTTAAATCACATAATGTCTTTAAAGTTATTCTTCCAAACCTTTGTCAAAAATTTAATAAAGATTTGTATATCTCTATGGTTCTTGTGACCCATTCGAACCTTTATAGATATACTAGAACAATTTGTATATGGCATTGCGTTATAGAGTTAATTGGTTGCCTGGTAAACCAATAATTGCGACAGTGGTAAGATTGTATTCCCAGGCACGTGTGCAGAAATGCAATAATCGATAATCCAGTGCACAAGGGCTGATGGGGTAAGAACGTCTACCTGACATGACAAAATATTCCATCTGGATTCCCACAATAATTTTTGTACTTTACTTTATTAAATGAATTTATGGGTAAAATAATGGCTAAATCCACCTGCAAAAGTTGGATTCATGTTTGTTTTCAAAATATGAAGAATCAGCCTTTTTGTCTAACCGTTTTAGATCCAGGGGAGCAACTGTTAATAGTTGTTGTTGTTCTTGTAGGTTTTGGGGATCCTAAAAAAACCCAGACCGTGTAGTAGTAATAGTGGAACCTACACCGTAGGCTTATGTACGCACACCTGCGTGCATGTCTCTTAGACAGGCGGAGGATAGCAGAGGGGGGGCTGAAAAATTTTGAGCGTCACCTGTTCCCTCTCCCTCCCTCACTCCCTCCTTCCCCCCCCC